GCATCTTTCGATTGTGAAACCTTTCTTTTTAGCTTGATTAGCTTTATTATATATATTGATGATTTGAAAGGTTTTGTTTCCATTTTGACAATTGAAAATCTGTATATCAAAATCTATTGGAGAATCGGAAGCTAGATTGATTGTAGCTTGAAGAGTTTTTGATATATATAGTAGTATACATGGCCAGTAATTAGAATTAAGTCTTGATAATGTTTATATAAAATTGAAGTGTATAATAAATCTTGAATTTGAATAATCAATTCCGTTTTTAATAATCCAAGGTTCTTGAATCATAATAAGATCGATATTAAGTTCTATTATAAGCTATAGAACGTTCTCTATAGCTTATAAACTCCGATTGAGATTTATTTAAAGGATTCGAATATTAGTATGACTTATTAATGAGTAGTATTCGATTTTTATTGAATAGTCTGATAGGTTTTGTATATTTTCGAATTTGCTATATAATTCCCTTGGCAATTCAAGCATTTTACTTTTAAGTGTTGATAGAACTTTCCTTTGATATTATATACCATATACAAGTATATTAATGTAATGTGCTTGTCTCCATATAATCCACAAAAAGGGTTCCTTTTACAATGGGTATCCTGATACCCAAATCCTTGACATTTCTGATATTGTGTAGTTGGTTTTGATTTGTAGAATTGTTTTATTCTTATACTACTTCCAGCAATATATAATCGCTTTCAAATAACTAATTCTGCTTTTGATTTTATAGCAAAAGCAATAACAATAGTACCCTTTTGTTGATAAGCTTTTCTGGAGGCGGGTATAAACCAAAAGGGGATTTCTATAAACTTGAAGTCTGGATTGAAGGTTTTGATTTCGTTGAGTATAAGATCCATTCCTTTTGTATCTGAGAATTCTTTAATTGGGATTTGTGAATAATAACTTTGTGCTATTCTTAATCCTTTTGGATTCTTTCGAATTTGATAATATTATTCCAAATCGCTTTCTTCTTTAATAAGAATTGTGATATAAAGGGATCATTTATTATAATAATGATATTATTATTGAAGGATATAGTTGCTGCTACAATGACTGGCCCTTTGATTCCGATCTTTTGAAAGGTTTTATTTATTTTATTTCGGATAATTAGGGGAGAAAAGGAGATAGGGTTTGGAAAATCTGGCTTGATTAAGATAATTCGTTTTTGAATAAGATTAGATTTCTTTTCTACATTAATAGATATAATGTTTTTCTCTTTAAGAACTAAATTCTATTCTCCTTTTTTTTGAAATATCAGCATATATTGATTTCAATATAATAATAATAACAGTAATAAGTAAAAAAGGTTTAATTAATACTTTCACTTGTAATTCGATTTTGGTGTATAACGGTTTTCAAATAAATAATTTAAAAGGTAATAATATTCGAAACTGTAATAAGCTTCCCCTTTTCAATATATTCTCTAAAAATCTCTAGGAAATCTAAAAGCTTGGATTGTTCTTCGCATAATTGGAAGAGAGAGGAAGCTAGCACTATAAGGTCTCTAGCTTTCAAATAGCTCCTTGGGTGTATTTGGGTTGTTTTGGATTCTAGGTTGTTTGTTCTGATTGCTAAGGGGTATTGTAGGGCCCCGTTTCTTATTCTGATTGAATATATAGATAGTATTGGTTGTATCTTGAGTAATAAAGGGGTCACTAAATAGATTGAATTCTTCAAATCTTCTTCCAGTACTAACTAGCTGGTTAATTAATAGAATAGGGCTAGAGATTTCGAATTGAGGGTTTTCAGAAGGCGGGGGAGGGCTTAAAGGTATTGGGATACCTAGAACAACAGTAGGATAAGTGATTGATATAATGAAGGCTTCAGAAGGAGCCTCCATCATAGCCATATCCCTAAGTGTTAATGAATTATTAAGAGAGCTCATATTGAGGATCTTATTCTTATTCTGGTAATTCGAAGTGAGAAAATTTTACGCGAATTTTCGTGTATGTTTCGTGTTCGGAGCGCCGACGACAATAGCACAACAACTACTGGTCAGAATCACTGGGGGGCAATTGCAATCAATTTGGTTTAATAACTATGATCTAAATCGATCGCGAACGGGTCGTATTTCGAAGAAAAAGTTTCCTTCGAAATTTGTTGTGGCGTTTGCAGTTTTGTATTGGGACCTTTCAGAGTACCTATACCTCATCCTTTCTTCTTGATACATAGCTTTAATCGATTTATAAGTAGATATTGTGTATCTACTATCTGAAGCCGAAACGCGAAACCTCAGTCTGGCTTGCTTTAGTACAACAATTCCAGCTGGGAGACCAGCTTTTACGAGGAGTGCGGTTGTCGGGGTCGTCTTGTAGACGGGTAAAGCTCCCCGAATCCTATTGATATTATTAATATGATTCTAATAATAAATCATTAAAAGATCTATACATACTATCCAAAATAATTCAAAATAAAACCACTTTTGTAAAGAATCTAAGATAATTACAGTTATATAAAGGGGTGAATTATTTGTCAAAATGTAATATTTCTTAATTTTTGATCATCTATTATTACAACTCGGACCCATCCATGTGTTATTTGTATACTCTTCTGAAATTGAACTAATTAGCCTCTAATATAAGGAATGCTAGATGAATCTAGTAAGGAAGGGAAGATAGAATGTGAATATTTAAAATTTATTTTTGCTTTCTCAAGTGTTCTAATAAGTATTCTAGTATAGGTAAAACACGATTAAAAATAATATTATTACCTTCAAAAAATTGTATTGTATTTTTTCAATATAACAAACATCTTTGAAACTTATTAAAAGTATCAAAATCTTTATTAAATAGCTTAATAGCTCTTAAAATATTATTAGGATATAATTACCATTATTGTTTATATACATTCTTGATTTTAGAGTTTTTAAAAACACTACACATCTTCTCCCAAGAGTTTCATTAAGTGTTGTTGTCTATAGGGATTCGTTTTTTTATAAGGTAAATAAAGTTTTGTATTTTGTATAAACTCTTTTGAAGTAATGTTGCAAAACAATGATATTTCTCAATTACATTCTTTTTTTTTTATTTATCCTATTATTCTTTATCTACAACCTCAATCCCAACTGCAAGAGCTTTGATATTAACATCGTCTTCAAAAATATCATCAGCTTGTTGATCCATAGGTTTATCAATAAACATTGCAGCTTTTTGTGACTAAATTGATGAAATATATAAGACAGCGTATACAAGATTCGATTAAATACCACTCCATATCAAATTTATCAATAATACTAAAAATGATTAGTAGGAATACTAAAAGAATAAAATAGTTTACTAGAAAATAATACTTGTGTGCAGGTATTATTATTTGATCTATTGTTTATCACTATTGCCCCCAATTTAGTTGCAATTTTATATCTTTCAATCTCTTTTGCAAGAACTTTTACAATATTTTCCTTGGTGTATTGATCTACAACCTTTTTGAAAGCAAGAGTAAGAGTTTTAAGCATACCATTTTAATCAATAAACTATACAATTAAGCCAAGAATACTATATTCGTTAGGGGAGGTCCAAAGGTCCTGAATAAAATGAATATTCGATTGAGATATATGTAAAACCTGTCTAATGTGAAGTTGATTCTCTTCATAAATTCAATCAACCCAAAAAATTAAGGTTTTTTGAGAATCTGGAATCCATATAGCTATTTATTTATTGAGATAATAAAGAATAGCTCGAAACTCATTACATTCAATAAACTTTGCTAATAAAAAACAACATGCAAATAAGTATATAACAGAAGCTCTAAAACGTGGGGATCTAAAACATACTCATCGGGAAGATTTTCAAGAGTTTCTTCATCTTTTATCATTCTATAACACTTGAATCCAACGGATTTGCTAGCATTTTGCATAGCTTGCTGTATAGTAGCTTAGACACGCTCTCGACACTCTTCTCGAGGGGATGCCTCACTAATTGAATAGTAAATACACAAATGTACTACAATAATACATATACCACCAGATTCGAGGTACTTTTGTTTGCAATAATGACATCTCCATTGAACTTTACCTCGATTGTCGAGATAAATAGTGTTGGAATCAGTATCAGGCATATGTTTCCAGATCCAAGAATATCGACGTCGTGCATTGAGAGCTGTAGAATGTGTTTCAGCTTGAGGTCCTTCAATATTGAATGTTTGTAGATATAGATATAGGAGTAGATGTAAGTCCAAGTATTTGAGAGTTTTCTTGAGAGTTGCATAGAGTAGGTGTAGGGCTGGATGGAGAGGGGATATCAATATTATCAAAAAGCTAAGGTTGATCAATAAAACGATCAGGATCGACAACACTAAGAGTATCTGAAGGATAAGTGGTTAAACCATTATCTTCGATAATAATAACTGACATATTGATAATGAAATGATTGAAGTGTAATAGAATAAATAGAATTTGATAGTTTTTGAATATAAAATGAGGGGTTTGATTTCATATTAAATATTCTGATCTAAGAAAGTGATTATCGTTATATAATATCAAAAATCTCCTTTGGGAATTGAAAAAATTGTATCATGATAACTCTCTTGTCATAAGATATGAGATAAATCGAAAAATTCAATGTATTCTATTGAATTTCGCTTTTATTGTCGTAATCAATATAGTTGGAAGTAGTGATATTCTTGAAGAATCAAATATTAGAACCTCAAAAAAGGTGTATGCACGTGCCAGCCACTCGTTTCAGCCAATCAATTATCAATATTTCCGTATCCTACCAGTGGTATGCAATATTAGGTAACAACCTCAATAATTCCAGTGATATGGCATTCAATAATACATATTGAAATACGTAGTAGAGAATGTATACGCATCACTAGAGTGGGGCGTATGGAAAATACGTCGTATACTATGTCAATGACTGTCTCTCTCCAAATCGGGTTCAGCGAACCACGCATTTCTTTCGGAACATTAAACGGGCCAGGTCCTCCTTGTAAGCCAACTATCATCTGAGATCCACCTCCGCCCTGACTTGCTAGCGCGCGTTGTAAATATGCAGCTACTGTCTCCATTGGGAGATCAGAGAGTTGCGCGCGCCCAAGTAAACGAGTAGAAAGAAGAGAACCTGTCCAGCTGGATCTTCGCCAGGATCACCAGCATAGAAAAAGTCGAGATAAGTAGGGTATACATCTGTGACTGTGTAATTAAGAGAGAGCGATCCATTAGAAATATCCTTCATTTTCTCAATTACAGGGGAGATGACAGTGTCCATTTCAGAGGTACTGATGTTGTATCCGTAGAATGCTTGTGAGAAGTAAACACCCGGGGGTGTGGATTCTGAACCGGAAAGACCTCGCGCTGAGGAGCCAGTAGCAGCAGTCATTGCGCCTGCTAGACCAGTGTCCATTAGGTCTGGGATACTTTGAAATAGGATTGCCAGGGCACTCCAAGCTGCTGTTGCAGTGGTAGTATCGTTTTCGGAGCCGAGAGGAATCACCTCGAGATTTACGGCTACAACAGAAGAGACTGCAGGATGTGCTTGTAGAACGAATTCAGTCACGAGACCATATTTACCAGGACCGCCTCCTCGGATGGCCCAGAGAAGGTCAGGATTTTGCTCCGCGTTCGCCGTCAAGATTTCGCCCCGAGGCTGTAATAACAGTAGCTTGATGGATTTGATCGGCACCAAGCCCGTATTGGCTTGAGAGAGGGCCGTGGCCACCTCCTTGGAGATACCCCCCTAGACCGACAGTTTTGGCATCACCCCCAACGATCGTTTTTTCCAGCCTCATGTGCGGCTGTGTAAATAAGTTCTAGATTGTTTCCGCTCCCGGCAATGAGGACGTCAGCTGTAGAATTGGAGCCGGGGATGGGCCAAGAAGAATTGAATTCCCGTTTGAGAAAGTTATGGGTCCATATTGAGAGGGAGTTGGCGGCCGCTTGATCTGTGAGTTTAGACATGGTTAGATATTTTCTTTATTTTCTACTTGCTGTTTACTTTTTTAAAAGGTCAAATAAATCGGAAGATGGAGGAATCAGACCTTCCATTTAGATCGTGACCAGTTCCTTTGATTACAATTCGAATATTTCTTTCCGTAGCCCATTTCATCGCTGTAGCGATTTGATCCTCGGTAGTGGCATTGACAACATAAATCGGACAACCGCCTATCTCACAGCTTTTACCAGCTTGATACCCCGTTGCATCGGTAGGAAGACAGGAATTATTGGCATAGATGGGATAATCGATCCCTTCTGGTGTATTGGCTTGCCATGAGGCCAGAGCCCAATTAGTCTGGACGGAAGAACAATTTTTGAGTTGAGTTAAACGGGTTTCCAGTGTAGCAAGAAGAGGTCGGCGGAAGAGTCTTGACGAGGGTTCCGGAGATGGATGTGTTGAGTGCTGCCCAATCGGCGGAGGAAGGCCACGAGGCGTCTGCAGGTGTGATTTTGCATGTCTGGGTAGAACTGGAATTGGTGGCGAGTATGAGGGTTGGGAGAAGTGAGAAAGTAAGAGTTATGAGTTGAGACGAGTGAGAGGGTAACATCTTGAATGATGCGTGATGATGGGTGAATAGTATGGGCAAGAAAACGACGAAAGAAAGGAATTGAGAAGCATATATAACACAGAAGTCATCGCACTTGCCAAGATGGAACGATACAAATTGTTCATTCGTCGCTTTGCATAAGAGATCTGATTGGACCAGAAAATCGAGAAACATACTACCAGGCCATGCATATCAACAATGTTCATCTCTATTTCCTTGAAATGAGTCGGTCCTGCTTTCATACAGATAAAAAGAGATCTATACATAGGTGAACAGACCATCGCCATTGATTTTAGCATTTTCTTCTCCCAAGAATTCGAGACAGGATGCTTTTTTATGGATCTTGTGGATGGTGCCAAGGGCGTTTATACTTCCCTCAACGAGGATGTAACCGATATCCCTACATCGTGCACGTCCCTATATCTTGCACACTTTATTTCTTTCAAAAATGATATTTTAAAATAATATATAATTAATTAATCATTAGATTTTATTGAAAATTAAAATGGGAATATAGTAATATTATTGTTTTTATAAAAAATAATAAAATTACAATAATAATCAATAATCAAATAGAAATCTTAATATTAAAAATATTAATATTAAAATATTATATATTAATTTATTTAATAATAGAAATGATAAAAGTTTTTTTTAGAATACTTTTTATAAATTTGAAGATTTTTTTGGTTTAAAGGAATCAAAAAAGCTAGTTTTTGTATTAGAAATTCGAAATTATAGTAATATATATAAAAGTTTTAATAATAATTTATTTTAAAATAAAAAACTTTTATAAATTAAATATTAATAATTTTCAAATAAAATTTAATTATGATGTATTATTTATATATTAATATTGATAATAAAATAATAAAATGTTAAACTTTATTATATATTTATATATATTATTAATTATTTAAAACCTTTTAATATTTAAATATTAAAATTATATAAATTAAATATGTAAAGGACTATCATAAAAGGATTCAATTCTATCTTAGAATCTAAAACTAAGAAGAAAGAAAAGAATAAAAAAGAACTATAAGAACTCCGGACTATATATATCAATGAATCACATACTAAACTAAGATTCTAGAAGCTAAATAATTGAGAAAGAAACCTGAAAGGAATTGAATTATTACATTTACCCCCCCCGTCTGAAAAAAGCTTACCCTCAAGCACTTATCTATTTCCTTATTTTTAATAATATTATTATATTTATAATTATTATCTTTATAATATTTCAGCCATTGAGATAATGCCTTAAGTAGGCCGGGAAGGTTTTGATTGGCCAGATAATACTCTTTGAATTTATAAAAAAAGTATTTGAAATTATTAATAATGTATCAGATAAGATTAATATCGTAATTACGTTATTATATGCAATAATAAATATTATTATGAGTATTCTTCGAAACTATGATTTGTTTGATTTTCTATTCTTTTTATCAATAATATTAATTAAAGAATCAGAATTATTCACTTGATCAGAAAGAGAATCATTCGCAGTTTTTCATAGCTTTTTAGTTAGGAATGTATCGAAAATTTTTATTATATTTGATAGCGTTAATTTAAAGGATACCCTACCTTTTCGATAATAAGGAATTTACCATTTATTAGAAAATCTAGTTTTTTTGAAGGGCACTCGATTCGGTAGTATTGTATATCAAGTTATACAAAATCGCCTACTTTGAAATCAATAAATCATCAATACACATTAGTCTTGAACTAGGCTTTTTCTTGAGTGTTTGTAAGATATTTTATAACAAGTTTCTATGTGTTATAATATTGTTAAGTTATAATACAGGCTTTATTCATATTAAGCTTATTCTTGATTTCAATATTATAGAATTTCCAATTCCAAAAGGTTGTGGGGAATAGTTGTATATAATTTCAAATAGAGAAATATTACCAAAAGAATTGTAAAATAAAATAAGTTGTATATAATCTATTATTGATAAGAGCTTTAATTAATTATCTTGATAATAGAAAATAAAGGGTTAGAGTTTCTTTTGGAGATATTAATTATAGATCTCAGTTTGTTTATTAATTTGAAAGTAATCCATAATTGAATAGCTAATATTAATATCTAAAATCTTTTGAAATTCTTTTCAAAAATTTAATATAAATTGGGATCCATGATTAAATATTATGGAAAGAGAAGAATCGAAATAGTGATAAATATAATAAATATATAATTTGATTATTATAATTGAATCGATTGTTTTTTTGTAAGGGATAAAAATAGCTTATTTACTAATCAATTGATAATAACAAATACATTATTATATCCATATTGTTTTTTATTGAAACTACAATAATCTATAGTAATATATTCCCAGAATCGCTTGGTATTGGCAATAAGTATAGCAAGCTAGGGGTTTTGTTTTAGGGGATATTTATTCTACAATAAGTATTGTAATTTCGATAGTATTAAACTATTATTTAAGAGATTCCTTATCAATAATAGTAATCGATTAATAATTTTAGGGTTTTTTTGGATGTCTGGATATACAATAAAAATATTATTGTGGGCTTCTTGAATTAAGAGGGTGCGAAGATTATTTGTATTAGGAATTACTAGTTTGTTTTTATATAATAATAATCTATCTTCGAGGCTAAAGTGATTATTGTCTTTCTGTGTTTATTTCTATAAAGCTTCCAAAAAAGGAGTATAGCGATTAGCAAGTAGAATATAATCGATAATCCATAGAACTGGGAAAATCGATATTAGATCTAGAATTCAGATAAAAGCTTTTTTGATAGAATTTGATTAAAGCTTATAAATCAAAATAAAAGGATCGATTTGATTATCTTTTAGGAGTTATTAACAATATTATAACTTTTTTTTTTGATTTTGATTATCAAGTTTATTAATGTCGTGGATAAAAGTATTGGTTAATGGATTGTCTTTTCCTGGATGATAGTATATTACAAAATTATAGTCCATTAGGAGTTCGATCTATTATACTTGCTGGAAATTTAAGGCTTTTATAGTTATAAAATAGATTAGTGCTTTATAATTGATATAGATATGAATCTGATATAGTATACTAATAAGTTTAGTATATTATATTTAAAGGACTTTATAATAAAGAGTATCTCTTTATTATAACTTTATAATTAAGCTTCGCAAGAGCTATAATTTTTGAATAGAATCCTATAAATAGCCAGTCTTCGTTATGCTTTTGTAAAAAAACATTTATCACTACTTTATTTAAGGTATTTATTTTCAGTATATATTCAAGATCTTATTGATAATATTATAAAATAGAAGAGGAGATAAAGAGTTTTTGAAATATTAAAAATATATATATAATTATTATCGATCAAAAGGGAACATTATTTTTAAATCACATTAATCAAAGGTTTGGCTAATATACTAAAGTTGTATATAAATCAGTAATAGAAATTACAAAATCCTAAAAAGAATTAGATTCCTTTAATTGTAATTGAATATACTTAATTATATATAATAATAACTTTTTTAAAATCTATTTCAACTCCTTCTATAAAGATTATAAAGTTAGATATTTAATATAAATAATACTAAATTCGCTTTTCTTTAGATTAACTTGAAGATTAATGTCTTTTAAATATTATAAAAACCTTTTTATATAAATCTGATATTCCAAAGGATTTGAAAAATAAATCAAGATATTATTCAAATAGGCTATATAAAAGTTATTAAGATAATCAAAAAGAATATTATTTATATAATATTGATAGATAATAGAATTATTGATTAGACCAAAGAAAGAATATAATACTTATAAATTTCATAGTGTATACAGAAAGTTATATATTCTTCAAATTGAAGGTCCATTCTAATTCGATAGAATATTTAATAATATCGAGTTTAATGAAAATCTTAGCATTAATAAAACAATCAAGGATTTTGTTAATCAAAGAAAAAAGGTATTGATTCTTTTAGATAAATAAATTCAGTATATAAAAAATCGATATAGAATCGAAGATTTCCATCTGCTTTTCTTATAAAAAAGATAGGAATTGCAAATAGGGCTTAACTAGATTTAATAAAGTCTTTATAAAGGTTATTAGTAATATACTTCTTAATTATTTTGAGCTCTTCAAGAGACATCTTATAAAAAAAAACTATATTTGAAAACTTTTTCATTATCACCTTTAAGGATAGTTTTCTAGTTATATAATCGATATAATAATAGTATATTCAATTTGGCTTTCAAGAATACATCAATATAGTCTTTATATTTTAATAAAATAAAAGGTTTTTACATCCAGTATAAATAATAAGGCTAGTAATAAATATACAGCTATATAACATTACAATAAACTAAAACGAAAATCTTGCAATACAATATTAATTAATTTGATTGATCTTTTTTTTTTCAAAGTATTAATCAATTAATTCGCTAATTTTGTAAAAAGAGTTAA